TGGGAGTAGCCTCATATTTTATCCAATTAATTAATCACGTTTCTGTCGAATTTTAAACATATTTTTGGCATAGTGAACCCATTCTTCAAATAATAGTATCTGCTCATTTAATGCTCTTTTAACTTTCTTCAGATTCATATGCTATTTAATTTCTAGTAGTTTTCTACTTTTTTATTTTTTTATTCTTCTTATTCAAACACAGATAACCAAGACGCTTATATTTTTATGAAATATCAAGATTAGAAGAAATATATTTTCGGACTTCTGACGTACTTGATAATTATAAAAAAATATAAATATAAATATTACAAAATATAATTATTCTATATTCAATTCGATCATTTCCTACTTTTAGCAACTAGAGGAACTTAGTAATCTGGAACTTACATTTATAGATTTTGGTGATCTTATAGCATTCGTTAATTCCTTTTTTATTTAAGAGATAATAAAGGATTACTCGGGATAGATGTTAAACTACCTCACGCGAGACTTGACTCCAACTCATAACTGAAACGAGTTCACCAGTGAACGAATGGATAAAATCGCTGAATGCTGGTAGTTGGTCATGAGTTTGCGCCTCGCCAACGGCCTGGCCACATACAGTTTTCCTGGGTTTTTTCACATTTGTGACAACTAAATAGAAGTCAGTTTTCCGTAGAAAGTCCTGTCGGGAGGTATTTCCCTTAGCAGATCGTCCATGTGTCGCGTTGCCGTAAACAACAAAACAAATACGAAAACACATTTCCAGGTGGCACCACAGCAATGACAATCATCAGATATATTGTGAGTTCACTCTCAGCAACACAACGCTTGTTATATTGTTTAATTTACCGTATATATTACCGTTATTACCCTAGTTATAAAATTTGCATCAATTATTAAGTTGTAAATATATGTGTTTTCATTAAAAAATATTCTATGCTATTTGTGTGACTGCTTCTGTTGTTTTAGTAGAACTAAGTATTAAGTTTATTTTCTTCATAAATTCTTGAAACCGATCATTTGGAACATTATAGAAATACAGAGTTATTCATAATTCCAAATCTAATTTTATTCGTGACATGCATGGTAATGGTTAGAAGTACATTAAGGCAATATATTGTCTGAAAGATTGTAACCGCAAGTTTTTAATGCACTATATATATTCGATGTGGTTTCCTTTTATGATTCTGCAAACGTCAAGGCGATAATCCATTTCAGACCGAACCCGTGTAGAGTGTCGGTGCTTGGACGTTTTGCAATGTATAGACAATCTTCATTTTCAATCTTGTGATATTAATTCCTTGTGGCATTGAGTGTTGGTGTCTGCTTACCGAATCACTTTCAAAATTTGCGCTGAACCGTTACAACAGACTTTGTTTTCTCAAATTCAAGGACACCGAATGTCTTCTCAGACTTCATTGTCATTTTCATTTACTTCCATCTATCGAATATCTGAGAAACTGAATCTCAGTCCCATATGATTTTGAAAACTTTGTTATTATCTTTCAAACAATGTATTGTTCTTGACAGTGGTTCTAACCGTTGCTATGTGCTTCACAAATAAAATGAGATCCGAAGTTAAAATAAAGACTAATCCTGAATTAGTGACAAGATATAAGATGCCTTGTTTTATTGTTAATTTATGATTTTCTCTGGAAAGTCTGAATGAACATGGCACATTTATTTAGTTCATAGCCGATCTTAACTATCTTAATATCTTTTATATACGAATTACCATTATTGGTTCTGTTTTTATCAATCACACTTTCCAAAAGTAAGCTTACAATGCTAATTTTTGGTATGTTTGCTCGTAATCAAAATGATTAACCTAATAGAAAATTTCACTTTAAATTCACTAAAAACGGACGTCGAGAGATACTCCGACTTCTATATTTTTCCCTCTGAATGACATACAAATGATACATACAATACAGAATCAAACACACAGATTAACATATCAGAACATATGCAACTCCTATTCTGTAATTAACACATCTAAAGATTTTACATAAATTTTTTACATGATAATATTAATTGTAATGAAAAATTATATTAACTTACATTTATAATAATCTAAGCAATAATTAAATGTTGCATGAAAAAAGAATTTTGACATTATAGAAAAACTCCATATTAGGTAGGTAATATTGTTACAAGAGTAAAGGAATCAATAATGCCACTTAAATTTCCTTTTTAAAATTTTCATCTATATTGTTTGAATCGTTTAAAATACTTAAATAAAAACTTTTAGATTAATGCATTTATCTAAAAAAACAAAAAACAGAAAAAATCTAAAATTTTGTAATTTCATTATTTTAAAAATAGCTTACAAAAATCTAATCAATTTTTGAATTAACATTTTTTAGTAACAACTTTCGTAACTACAGGAATATTTTTTATAGCGTAACATCATATAACTGCAAGTAAGTTGTTTTAAAATAATTGCTTTTGGTAATAAAATCTCTGTATATAAGAATATCTTAAAACTATTTGAGTTACTAAATATCCAACGAGACTTATTAAAGCGAAAGTTTGAAGTTTTACTTTAATTTCTCTTAAGAAATCAATGCTTGATTATATAAAAAAATTTTGAAAATTTTTGCAAATTTTATTTACAAACTTGAATAAAATTTGCATAAAGATTTAATACAAAAAGAAAATCTTCTCTAAACTTGTATTGAAACTGTAATAGATATTACAATAAACTATTTCGTTTATAAGATTAATTCTAATGATTTTTAACATTCTCTTCGATCTACGCGATAATACTATTTGATATATTTTAATTTTTGAAAAATAATAAATATTTTAAAATGTTATCTGTTATTTACTCAAGGAAATACTGTAAATTATATGTCTTATATTTTAATTCCTTTTAAATTAAGAACGTAAAGTAGTAATTATTTTTAGTAGTGGCCTTATGGGAACCTTTACTTCATTATATAAATATACAGTATAAATGCATTACACAGAATTCAATGTTATATAAAAATTAATTATAATAAAAATTCTAATAAATTTTTAAAAAAATAATAAGATTATATAGGATTTATGCAGAATGACATTAAAGATTCGAAAATAAATTGGCGTAAAAAAATCAAAAGCTCATTTACGGTAAACAACTTACTTCAGTTCATTTAACTGACATAATGATAAAAATCAACGATTTTCTCCTAGATTATAAACTATTGTGATTTGCATCTAATTGAAATTTCTTCTTCTAAATGGTTTCAAATTTTAATTTAGATTTTTTTTAATGCTTTGGAAATAATAATTTTAGTTTTGAAGGATGTGGAAATAATGGTTATTATCGCGATCTCTTAATTTTAAGTGATTAATTATAATACGAAAAAGTATATTTTATGATTTTATATCACGATAGATACATTTTCAATGGAATAAAAACAAGAATAATTTACAATCATTCATTAAATTTTCGCGTAATTTTGTCGGATTAAAATGATATATAAGGAAAAACTAGAAAATGCAGTATATAAATATAAAGATTTGTTTGTCATCTTAGTTACAGTATTATGTGTATTTTCAGATCTTTTTAAAAAAATTATTAACTAAATTACCGAGATAATATTAAAATGTAGTTATTTTATTTAAATTTTTGAAACGATAAGATTAATTTGAAAAATTTAAATATCATTGTAATAAATTCTAAGAAAAGTGAATTATTCTAGATCAATTGTAATTTATAGAATATTGGATTTATATTGTGGATACTATTATATATTGCAATTACCATTTATCGATTACTGAATGAAGTCTTTCGCAGATATATTATTTAAATACTTATTTGAGTTTAATAGAATCGATGCTATCTTTTACTAATCTACAATTTTGTATATAAATCAATAAATCTGACACGAGACGATTATATTAACTAGAAATTTCATTACATAGAGTAACTCAAAAGTCAGTTAACTGAAACATGTTTTGAAATTATTTTTAAGAGAGGTTAAAATCATTTTGCAGCAGCTGCATTTCTATTATTTGCAACTCAAGATCACGAATAGTTGCATGTAGCTGCACTAAACTGTTTTTAAGTATTCTTAAAATAATCTTTAATACAGTATATATATTGGCTAACTGAGTTTTAGGCCACACTGTAAATCGTACTAATTTTCCATAAATTTGTGTATAATACATTTAAATTTGTAAGTAATATAAAACAAACTTTTATAACTTATAATAAATTAACCATTGATCGATCCAAATCTTCTACACTGTTATTCTTTAGTATGGCTCTCGAATTATTTAATTAATTTAAATGTAAAATTAAATAAAAGTTAATATTTTAATCGAATTTAAAAAGTAGGGAAATAAAAAGATAGGAGCTGAAAATAAAGTCGGGTAAAAACATAAGAATTCTATGTTCGAAGTTTAGAAAAATCTAATTTTTGACTTATTCAATGCACTATATGATATTGGAGTCACCTAAGCTTGCGAATTGCTTTTAAATTTGATATTTTGTAAGAAAAAAGTTATTACAAAATTGTAAGACGTGAAAGCCATAATAACGATGATTATTTATAAAGTCGTAAAAACAGAAAACTGGTAACAATTTTGCAGTTATGATTACGTTTCGTTATTCTTTACAAATTTACGTGTTTTTTTTTATTTTAAACATTACATAAATTAAAAGCATAATTATTATCTAAATTAAAAATAATATTTTAAAATTCTTTTAATACTAAATTTTTTCATATTAATTACAGAAAATAACTTAGTCGTGTAATATTATTCGAGATATTTTTCTTTTATAACAATTTTTTAAAATTATGTAATTGTTAATTAAATTTATGATATATTGTGCCAAAAATAAAAGATTAAAATATAAGAACGAACATTAAATCACCATTAAAAGGATAAGTAAGTTAAAATTTTATTTACTTTAAAATTAATAAAATAATTTATACTTTTATTAATATGATATATTGATTATTTAATTTATATATCTATTTTTCTCTTGATTAAAAGTTACTTTTATTATTAATCAAAATATTTACCTTCCTCTTCTGTTGTTGCTATGATATCGTCGCTAGCTTCACTTCTACCAAACATATTTTCAGAATATATTCGAACTAAATACATAGTACCTGGAGTTAAACTGGTTAAAATAACTTTATTATCAGTTGGAGGTATTTTAACTGTTTCAAATTTATCAGGAGATTCTGAAATTTAAAATCAATTTTTTAAATAAAAGTTAATTTAATGCTTACGTAGTTTTTTTATTTATATAATATTTTTAAAAATATATTTCATTAAATTTTGATAAGTAATGATAATTAATAAAATTATTAACTATAATTAGATATTTATAATTAATAATTTCAATTAATTTTCTCATTAATTAAAATTTTACTTAAAAATTAATTTAATTATAAGTCGGAAATATAGCCTATATTTAAAAGAACGTGTGTAGATTATGATGAAAAAGTTTTTATTGATAATTAATTCTTTTTAATTAATTATTAATAAAAATCGATAGATAAGTCATTGACAAATATTGATCTACTGATGAGCAATCTATCGTAATAATTATTTATTGAGTATAAATATCCGTCTTTAGCCGCTCGACATTTCGTTTGGCGAAGGCTTTGTCAATATTGAAAATAAAGAAGAAAAATTACTAAAGTGGATTACTGTGTTTAGGATTTTTTTTCTTCCTTTAAAATTACAGTTTTTAGCGGCGTAATTTAGAAATTTAGATGTTTATTCGTGTTTAAAATTTGGGAAATTTAAAGACGTGGAAACCTCTATAAATCCTATTTTTATTTGTTTTTACAGAAAACTAATTTTGTACAATTTATACTATTAAAAAATTAAATATAATTATTTAAGGAATAATGTTTGTATCAGAACTAAAGTGCATTTTTTTAATGAAAAAATTATTGTCTAAAATTACTTTGAATGAGATCATGAACAATACATTAAATTGAAGCAGTATTTTAGTATCTTTATCAAATTATAAAATTTATTTTCCATAAAACAACTAATCCAACGAGACTAAACTACTACCAAAGAGATTTACTCGTACCTATATAAAGTAGATATCTATAGATTACGTGTTTGGTTACCGATATCTTCAAAATTTAGTTTAAAACTTTTTGATAATGAAATTTTATAATTTGATAAATTAAAAGATTGCTTTCAAAGATAAAATGGATTTAATAACTCAAAATACTTCCTCGATTTACTTCTTGTAAATCTTGTATTCTACATATACATACGAATTTAGGTTTTTAAATTTATATAAAAGGTGATCCAAAAGTCAGTTGACCGAGATATATTCTAAGACTACTTTAAGCTACTTAAAGTATGCAGCTTTAAACCAGCTGCATTTAATCCGTAATTTAATCATTTTATTAAAAGATACGGAATTGCGAATGAATAGGCAGCTGTTCCAAACCGGTTCTAATCGTTCTTAAAAATTTATTGATTAACTGACTTTTGAGCCAATCTATTATTTCTGATTTAACTGCTACCAATGAAGTGATTGAATCACAAATGATAACATACAGCTATTTAAAACCGGTTTAAACCATTCTTAAAATAATCTTAAAATATAATCCTGTTAACATTCGGTTACCCTTTATTGTAATTAATTTAAATGAAATTGTATTAAAATAGCTTTAAAAATATTTTTATTTTTTTAGTGGTTAGTGTCATGATATATAGAATCTTCAAATCGACGAAAAATATAATAAATGCATTTTTGTGTATTTTATGTTCCTGAATTTAAAGATATTAATTTAATTAATTGTAAGTAATATAAAACAAACTTTTATAACTTATAATAAATTAACCATTGATCGATCCAAATCTTCTACACTGTTATTCTTTAGTCTGGCTCTCGAATTATTTAATTAATTTAAATGTAAAATTAAATAAAAGTTAACATTTTAATCGAATTTAAAAAGTAGGGAAATAAAAAGATAGGAGCTGAAAATAAAGTCGGGTAAAAACATAAGAATTCTATGTTCGAAGTTTAGAAAAATCTAATTTTTGACTTATTCAATGCACTATATGATATTGGAGTCACCTAAGCTTGCGAATTGCTTTTAAATTTGATATTTTGTAAGAAAAAAGTTATTACAAAATTGTAAGACGTGAAAGCCATAATAACGATGATTATTTATAAAGTCGTAAAAACAGAAAACTGGTAACAATTTTGCAGTTATGATTACGTTTCGTTATTCTTTACAAATTTACGTGTTTTTTTTTATTTTAAACATTACATAAATTAAAAGCATAATTATTATCTAAATTAAAAATAATATTTTAAAATTCTTTTAATACTAAATTTTTTCATATTAATTACAGAAAATAACTTAGTCGTGTAATATTATTCGAGATATTTTTCTTTTATAACAATTTTTTAAAATTATGTAATTGTTAATTAAATTTATGNATTTTCTATGTAATTTAAATAATCATTGTCTGAATTGTGGATTATTTTAGAAAGAGAAATTAGAAAATGGTTGTCAATACTTGAGTGATTAAATTAGACATGTGTAGAGATAATTAATTCAAATATTTTGATATAATCCAAGGACGTCACGTTCTAAATAAAATAGTAAATATGAAAGTAATGTAACCTTTTTTTTATACCCATTAGAAATATATTTTTCGTATTAAAGGTCAAAATGTGAGTTACATGTTGGACATATTACAGTGTTATGATACCTTGAAACTTTTTACCTGATATAAATCCGATCAAAAAAAATATTGGAGAAAAATTGAAGATATGTTCATAGAGCCAAAGAGAAATAAATGGATGCTATAATACGGATTTTACACTTCGAGATTACTTCACAATTCTATTTTCGGCTTATTGAATCGATATAAAATCGAATTCATGTGCATATACTATTGAAAATATACAAAAAAGTATATTAAATTTATTATCAAATAGTTAGTAAATATAATGGCCGGAACAATAATAAAATATAAAAATATTCACGAATTAGAAGAAACAATAAATGTCTTTATATCTTGTTATTTTTCAACACCTGAAGAACCCAGTAGTCTTTACGGAAGAGTTGACCTTTTATTTTTATATTTTATTATTGTCCTGGCCATTACATTTATTAAAATTTTGTTAATTAATAGATTTATATAATTGTGCGGTATTCCAGGAACCTTTTATAACGTTTTTACATGTCGAGATGGAACGTAGCCCCAAAATAAAAGGCCGACACCGCCGTAAAGACTTGTGTTCTTGAAGTGTTGAAAAATTACAAGGTATGAAGACATTTGTTGTTTCTTTTAATTAGTAATAATTAGCAACAAAATTCTTTTTCAGCATACATTTATTCTTTTAAACATTCTTTTAACTTATCTGCGATTTTAGTTTTTTATATCTTTAAATATAATTACTTAAAGTTTTTTTAAAAGCTGAGCGCTTTTCATATGTTTAACAATATATTTCCTATTTCTAGATTTTGTTTAGCAGGATTATTATATTTTTCTTTTAGCTTTTAGCATCAGAAAAAAAATATATAACATGATTTTGATCAATATTTTTTTGAAAAATCGAATAGAATATCATACGTTTTCTCAATCATAAACTATCTATATTTGTCTTTTAAAATAATATATCAAATACGTATTTCAGATAAAGATCGTCNAAGATTTATAGAGAATTTGTGAATTAGTATAGAACGATTCCTTCTTTACATAACAAAAACTATATAAATGATTTTGCTTTATCACACTGCAGAAGCGATTTTACGTTGTTTATTAGAACCTTTTTTGACATAATTTTGCAGTTAAGTTCAAAATACATTGTGGAAATTTTGGAATATTAACATATTATTGATTTTAGAACAAGAAATAGCATTAACAAATTTTTGTAGAGCCAATTTATTTTGTAAAATATAGAAACTCAATACACTTCAATTTTTCCAGTTCTTGTTTTTCTTTTATAAGTCAGAAAACCAAGAATAACAATCGATATTCAGTACATTTAAAAATCAAATAAGTATTTTATTCAAAAAATATTATATAATAAAATTGAAATTAAATTCTTTTTTTCTTTATGCTTCTATTTTATTCAATGAAATGAAAACTTTGGTTCAATTATATTTTTTATTTTCAAATGATTTAAAAAAAAGTTTTTTTTATTTCATCACGTCAATTTTGATTTTGTTCCTATTCTCTATATTCAATTTTGTTTCAGTTCTAGTTTATTGAAAATATATAATTTATATAAAAATTAAAGCATAAATAAATAATATATTTATCAAATAATTAATATACGAAGAAGATATTAATTTCAAATTTTTGTATCATCTTCGTCAGCCAGAACTCGCATTAAAATGATTTCCCAGCGGTCATTTTAAATCAAACAAATCACTTATTAATTAGGTGAAATATGCAAATTTAAAATTAAAAAAGAAAAATACATATTTTTAAATTAGTTTAGGCGAAAATCTAACTAATGAAAATTGCTAATTTAGTTTATTTTTTCTGAGATTCGAAAATATTTATAGAATTAAACTAAAGTGGAAACGATTCTAGTTTTATTGTATAATTTAATTAAATAATTTTTATAAAATAAGTTTACATTTAGTGTATAATTACGTTTCATATCTGGAAGCAGGTGATGATTTATATTTTATTATTTTAAAATTTCTATTAATTAATCTTTTAAAAGAAGAATATCGAAGTAATTTAATTTTATTATATTTTGTTATTTTTAAAAGAAATTTGATATTTTCGCTATTTTTTTTTAGAAAATTCTTTAAATAATTAGCAATATTGCATTTTGCTGTTTTTAATAAATTTCAAAAAGTGTGTTTTTTTCAATGATAAAGTTAAAAAATTTAATAATGCTATTTTAATAATTTATTTTTTTTAATTAAGTATTATATTCGAAAAATTTGGATTTAAAAACAATTCATTTTCTATGTAATTTAAATAATCATTGTCTGAATTGTGGATTATTTTAGAAAGAGAAATTAGAAAATGGTTGTCAATACTTGAGTGATTAAATTAGACATGTGTAGAGATAATTAATTCAAATATTTTGATATAATCCAAGGACGTCACGTTCTAAATAAAATAGTAAATATGAAAGTAATGTAACCTTTTTTTTATACCCATTAGAAATATATTTTTCGTATTAAAGGTCAAAATGTGAGTTACATGTTGGACATATTACAGTGTTATGATACCTTGAAACTTTTTACCTGATATAAATCCGATCAAAAAAAATATTGGAGAAAAATTGAAGATATGTTCATAGAGCCAAAGAGAAATAAATGGATGCTATAATACGGATTTTACACTTCGAGATTACTTCACAATTCTATTTTCGGCTTATTGAATCGATATAAAATCGAATTCATGTGCATATACTATTGAAAATATACAAAAAAGTATATTAAATTTATTATCTTAAAAAATATCTTATTTTTTAAATATAAATTTAATTAAATAAAGAGAGTATCTCGTTTTATATATTAAAGACGTATACCATTTAAATTTTATACTTTGTAATTACACTTTATGTTACGTATGACTTTTTCGTGATATTAATAAAAAAAAGTATTTTAAATAATTTGAATTATTTTCTAAGGAAATATATAAATATATTTATATAATAATGCGTTTTTATTCGATATACCCGTTTGCAAAGGATATTGAAGAGATTTATTGCAAACAGGCTTTAGTAACTAAGAATAATGTATAAGTAAAGAATAATTCATGGATTTGATGTCATGGTGTCAAGTCAGAGTAGAGAAGCTAGCATGCAAACCTCAAAGCAAATTCATTATTCAACTACTCTGGGAAAAGAACGACAGAATGTAAAGATTTATAGAGAATTTGTGAATTAGTATAGAACGATTCCTTCTTTACATAACAAAAACTATATAAATGATTTTGCTTTATCCTTCGGAACCCTATAATCTTTAATATTGCTTCTCGAGGCAATAATTTTTTAAATAAGATTTCATCTCTTGTATTGTTGAGCATATGAAATATAGTGGAACTATATAAAATTAAAGATATTTTACAAGGAAAGAGAATATTTTAGAAGAAGTGAAATCTTTTTAAGAGAATTAAAGCGTATAGAACAATAAACAAGCGATTATTAAAATAATTTAGATAAAATTATAATTGAATCTTAGAAAACAATAGTGAAGATCTTCAATACAAAACAACGGAAAACTATAAACGATATGTTTACTAAATGTGTTTTTTGAAAATTATCTATGCTGCAATACAATACAATTTTCTTTTTATGAGTTTCAAAACGGTTGATAAATGACAACGAGACGTGTAATAGTTTTGTGTCTTAACTGTTTATTACGTCGTGTACCCTATTTGATGATGAGAAACACCTGCTCTGTTTCGTTTACGGCAATGAATCTGCAGCACCAAGTATGTGTTCCGGATGCTGAATAACGTGGGAGACAACAGGGGAAACGAGCTGCAGTCAACCTTCTGAAGAACATTTTCGATCCACTCTTGTGGAAGAATTCCAGAAGCTTATATCAAATGATATAAATGACTCAAGTGATATCATAATTATATACTAAAAAAAAGGTCGAAGTCTGAGATTTTTTTCATCTCTGAAACATCCGCCTTTAAAATATTTATCATACATTATAATAGGATTGTAAATTTAATGCTAATGTATAAATTTAACATGTAATTGCCATCAATTTATAAACATTACGTTTAATTAATTTTTTCTGTCAACGTTTTACAATAAACCTGTATCTATGAAGCATTTTAGAAATGACGTGATAAAACGTTTTTGACAATATTTTACGCTATATACAGACAAATCCATTAAAGTGATTTATTAAATATGTATAATTAAAATAATTGAAGTTTAAACAAAATTTAATTTTGTTCATTATAAACGTGACCCTTGACATTTTACGAGATACAAAATTTGCTTATTAAACCTAGTTTTGCTTGTTTTTTCCTTCGTGTTGATCAATATTTCGTCAGATACGAATAAAACTATGCAAATACTTTATTTACTTTTTAAAAAACATTATAAAAAAAGAAAATGTGTATCTTACTTGCTGTGTTATTGTAGATAACAATATATCCTGTCAGAGGACTATTCCAGATGAGTGGTGTAGCCCAAGAGAGAGTTATCATACGGCTAGTAACTTGAAGAACTTGAATGTTATAAGGAGCATCGGGTGGTGCTGTCAAAACAAAATATCCAATTTAATAATATCCTTGAAGAAATCTTTCCAAGCTGGAAAAAAAAATTGAAGTTTAACTAACTTTCTGAAGCGCATTTATACATTTAAAAGAAAAATATATATATATACTTGTTTACTGAAGGATTTTCATATTTTTATACATAAGAACAGTTTTACAAATAGAAATAATCTGAAATACTGACATTATTGATTGATGTTTATTCTTTGCAAAGTATTACTAGTGATGTAAAGCTGATCATAATTAAACAACGAATATATATTTTTTTAAAATTATTTTTAGCTGCTGATTTTAAATAATCCTAAAAATACGTTTTTGAAGTAAACGATTGTAGACTTTTATTAAATTAAAATGTGTTTTTTGTGAATTTTTTATTGTTTTAGTATCAATAATAAAATACAAACATACCTTGTACGGTTATTTGTATACTTCTTTCTTCTTTACCGTATTGATTTTGTGCTTCGCAAGTAAATATACCAGAGTCTGATTTCTCGGCAGATGTTATCTGCAACTGAGATTTAATTCCATCCGGTAGAATGGTATCATGTATAATATACCTAAATGTCAAAAACAAAAAAACTATAACAAAAAGTAATTGAATTATGAATATAAAAAAACATATAATTATTTTAATATATCAATAACTAAGAAAAATTCTAATTATACTTCATTAATCAAAACATTAATTTTTATATCTAGTATCGCTATAATTACTGTACAGATTACACAACTATCTTATAGGCCTATATTTTTTCTTAAGAAACAATTTTCTAAATGAAAGAATATTATATTACTAATTAAAATCTAAAAATTAATGTTTTTTGGTAGGGGTGAGGTTTGTGAAGGAAAAAAGCAGAGTTTAAATAAATAAATTTTATAGAAATGCAATACGATATTTCCTCCATCTTTATTTGGTTTGCAAGATATTGGCAATACCGATCAAAGTTGGTCATAAGAAATATCGTGGAAAAGAGTTTCAAGCGTTTGAAGTTTAAACATTTCGTTCTGCTTTTTCACACAAGTTTAGTGGTTATGTTTGTTTTCACGATTTTTATCATCATTTAGAAAGGTAGAATGAAAAAGTTTAAACTTTAATGATTCGTAACTTCAATCTTAACATCTAGGCAAAAGTACATTTACATGTTTAACTTTGTAATGTTTAACTCTTATTATTATAATATTAATAAAAATTACATATTATAATATCTTGTTAATGTTAAATATTTGTTGTAAATATAGGCCTACTATCAATAATTTTAAAAAATCTTTAACTTTTCATTTTGAAATTTATATTTTATCATCTAGAAGAGAATTTTGCCAAATAAGTTATACAGCATGAATAATTTCAAAATTAACCCCTTTATTTATTTAATTTTTTAATTCAAAACTTGCTGTTACTAAATTTACATTATGTACTGTACATAGATGTTTAAGTATATTGTTAAAAATAAAAAAAAAACTACTTTAACGAATGCTAATAAATTTCTTGAATTTCACGAATTTTCAATTATCGAAAACAATTAAATCTTATCTCAAAATTTAATTGATTTTTAGAAGTTTAAATGGATTAACTTTAAATCTTTTCTAAGAATAATCCCTAATAATCTTTAAAGTCTTTATTGAAGTTGTATTTTTTGCATTTTGTCTTTCATTATACAATAAATTTATATTTTAATGTATATAATTTTAATAAATTATAAACATTTTGAAAGTAAAAAGTAACAAAAAACAAAATTTTATGTCGTATTTTGCAATTAAATTCTTAAACAAGTTTTTTTTAAATAAAAGGAAAAAAGTATAATCAGATTAATACAAAACAAAACATAACTAGTTTAATTTTACTATTGAAAGGGGGAAAATATCATAAAAATTCAGCCATTTGGAACCTGGCCAAAATATCTTCCCCTGAGGATCGGTAATTTTATAAGATAAAATTACATAAATCTAATTTTCCGCATTAATAAATAAAATTTAAATTATCTAATTTATATCTAGCTTCAGTTTTTATGACTAATCAAATTATTTATATAAAAATGAATTAAGAAAACGGATAAAAAAAAAGATTGATTAAGATCGCAAAAATCAGAATGAAAAAGACTTTCTAAATAAGCTATAAGTAGAGTTGCATTTATCATAATTTTATTTTATGAAAACAAAACTGTCAGAAACTTATGTAGTACCTCGATGTTATACCGCGATCAATTGGTCTCTGGTGTCTTCTCCATGATATAGTCAAAGGCTTTTCTCCATATGCAACACAAACCAGTTTAATATCTTGTTTTTCTTTCACTGTTTTCATTTCAAAATTTTGCTCAAAATACGGTGGCACTAGAAATATAAATTTAAAATTTACTACAATATTTAACTCTTCAAATGTTCTTTTAACTTATTCCCATAGGACAACATTACCAAAGAAATATTGTGTAAGATAAGAAATTCTACGCCAAAAATAGTATTATTTAAGGAAAAATTTACGTATTTTAATGATTAAATTTTATTTGTTTCTATAATATTATTTTATTTAATAATATGTTTTGATAGTAAATATTTTTATTTTTCAATTTGTGTTTTTTTTATTTTATTTTTATTTCTCAAGTCTATCAAATATTTAATTTTCACTCTTTTCGAATTTTTACTCCCAAGAGAAAATATTCTTAACAATTTTATTGAAGAAAATAATAAATTATATTATATTTTTTGTAGATAAAATTGAATAATCATACTACATTACATATTTTATAAAGTATAAATACTAAAAATTTTCAATTTATTTTTTATTTTATTTTAAAATTTATTTAAGAACTAAAACACAACAACTTTTTTTAAATGCTGAACATTTATTTACTTTTTCTCTTGGCTAAATGTAAGGGTTTGTTGTTTATTTAATACTTAGCTTAGATCAAAAAAACATCTTTTGGTGCTTAAAATTAAAATTATACAAACAACAAAGTCAAACTATAAACTTAAAGCAATGTTATAAACTTGAAGTTTTAATTTTTATTAGAAAATCTTGTACAAACTCTATGTGCTTATATATTATATACACATTCAAACACATAGATACTGTATATATATACATACTTACAGTTAGGTAATCGATAATTTTGTTTTAATTAAATAAACTGTCAGTTAAGAGGTGTTCTAATTATATCCACGACGGAAATTCCTCTCCACCACAGACTGAACTTATCACACTTATCATTTAACTTTGTAATTTACTCGGTCACTTATGTGGAAAAATCGAACCTAACATGTTGGTAGAAAGTTGTGGAATTTACAGTTTGATAAACCGTATGATGCTATTTCTGATGATAAGTCAATATGTCACAAATTGTGATTAAAATTAGCACACTCACCGTCCCTGTCATGCACTCTTAAGAATTAATACTTGAACCCACGCCCTACCTTTTAATGTAAATATAAAGTTATTACCTGTTTCCTCTTACCAAAATTCTATGAAATTTTTAATTAAAAATTTTACTAACTTGTTTAAAATATAATAAAGAATTATTATAAGGCTTTAATAAGCTTACATTTAGTAAATATATCACCTAGATTGCTACCAGATAGGAAATTTTAAAGATAATAAAGTCTAAAGATTCAAATACATCTTTCAACTTTAGATATAAGTCTCATAAATACAACTGTACGTAATTTAATTACACTTAAGTTATAACTAATATCCTTATCTTTCTGTTTGTTTATTATATATAAATCTACTTGAAATAAGAAATAAAAAAAATCAGCAAATTACACTAAACAATAAAAATTATTTGAATTAGTAGAATAATTAATGTTCATTATTAAACAATGTTAATTATATGATGGATGATGAAAATTTATATAACTATAATCTTATAAAACTATTTCAAATTGTATGAAATTATATAATTATATCATAATTAATTATTTAAAACATAATTCTTATCCAATATTATTGTTTTATTTTAATTCATCAGAGGGCAGCACTGGATTATGTTAATGGTCCCAATGATTGCCCTAGAATATGATTTTACAAAAAAAAAAAATTAAAAAATAGATAATGCAGATTGCGTTTTTTTAGCATTTGATATATGAAAGAAACTCATATACTTCAATGTTAAAAATAAGAAAAATTGATAGCGATGCTATTTTTAGAAACGGTATGGACTTGATAGCTGCATTATATTCAAATACGAAAAAAATATTTTTCGTAACAAATAACGTATTATAAATTTAAATATATATATTCATTTATATATTTATTTCATTTACTTGCATAAATTATAATGAAATATTTAATAAAATATAACAAATTAATATTTCTTAAAACAAAATTTAATAGAATGAAGAATTTAATATAATATAATAAAAATTTATTAAATTAGAAACACTTTCTTTCTTTTAAATTAAATAAATGAATAATTATTCGAAAAATATTATTCACAGAAAATTAAGTGAAAGAAAAATAACTGAAATGAGCTGAAAAATAAAAATTAACCGAAAGGAAAAAAATAAAGAATTTCACTCTTGATGTGAACTGACGTAAACTATATTTTGTAGAAGGTAATGAATTTTGCTAATTATACAATTGCTTAACCGTTTAAACATTAAAAATATATTTTAATTAATTAAAAATCCAACAACGGGTTGCTTAACTTTCCCGGTAAAATCTACAATTTTGGTGGCGCCATCTGTTATGATATTTTATTTAAAAACTTTTCATATTTTTAATTATTATAAAAGGGCAAAAAACTTAATTCTGAGAGCAGAGATCGATTTTATAAAAAATTGTAAATGTCATTATGCCCGACCCTATTCGAAATATGACACGCGGCCTCCTTTATCTTTCTACCCCGTCGACCTATAACCACCAAAATTTAACAGCTCAAATCCTCTAATACACAAACCTCTCTGCAAAATTTCAGAAATTTTCGATAAAAAACACAGGAGTTATTAAGCTTCAAAAAGGGTGAACAAAATCGTGCCACACTACTATCCATATATATAGAAAATTCCCCGAAATTTTATTCATTTCTCGACGTTTCAAGATACCCTAAGTCCAAAAATATAAAACACCTTGAGGTCATTTTTTTGACCAATTCACATACTTTCCCTCTGTTATAATAGAGTCGGAAAAATAATAGTAATCGCCATTATTATTAATTTTTGAAAATATTTTTGACAATAAGCAGTCTCCGATTTATTTTATTTAAAATTTGTACTTTTATATTTTATGAAAAAACGTAGCATTAATATTTTAAAATATTATGGCATTTAGTATTTTATAAAATACATATACATATACCACATTTATATAATATAATCTAACGATAAATTTTAACTCACTGAAAAAAATCATTATTTTTCTATTTGCCAAAGGATGTTTTGAAAATATATTATTTATATATGAAGCGGAAAAACTGGAAAGTAAACATATCATGCATCAATCTATTTAATTCACAAGAAAAAAAAATTCTGACAAAAATAATTTGATGTGAACGTAACTTTGATAAAATAATATTAGGGTCAAGGACTGTGCGGTTGAAATTGGTCCAAATGGCCAATAGTTTTCCAAAACTAGAGCAAAAAATGGCAAAACAACTTTGTTATGTCTTATATATTTATCATTGATCTGTTTCAATGATATTTATTGAATGTAGCATCTTTATAAATCTACTTAAATTATCTCTTTTCGACATAAAGAATATAACAGTAGCAATTTTTATTTAAATAAGTATATATATATATACTCTAATATGAATGCAATAAAATTTAAGTTTTAATTAATTTTCCAATTCTACAACAAAGAAAAATCAAGAAATTAAATATTTCATATTATACTATTTGTAATTTCTACAAATATATCATCAAAAAGTTATTTAAATTGGTGAAAAGGAAGATAGAAACATTTTATTCCCTGCAGATATATATTTAATTAAATCATAATATAAATATTTGAGATTTACTCAAAGTTTAAATTGAAATAAATAGACATATAAATCCTTTTCCCATTAGATTATCTTAATATAGTAATTAAAATTAAGTAAATAATCCTAATGTGAACTTCCCAATTAATAATAACAATTGAGTACTAATTGAAATTAAGTTTATATTATTTTTATACAAAAAATTGTATTGAATTGATTTAATTTCTAATAAATAAAATGTTAAAGTTGTAATTCGTGATCGGAAAGATCGCATGAATGACAAAACAGCTGTTTCGTGACATTGAAAAAAATCTGCATTCTTCAGACGGTGAAAGAGTTGTTTTTGCATGAAGACATCTGGATAGTTTTTTAATGCCATAGAAAAGAATCTATCCATTTTGCGGATTGAAAATCGCAAAAACATCCGAAAACAAAAATAAAATATAAATGTTCAAAAGGAATTTCAGTTACCGTGCGGTTTCTTCAATTTTATAAAACATTAAAAGGACTTAACAAATTTACAGTTTTATAATTTTCTAAATTTAATAACTTTATTACATTATTTGCATAATATATTTGAACTTTGGTTTAAAAAAGCTATTATTTTATATTTTTAAACATCATCGAAACAATTATAAGGCTACAATTTTTTTCGAATTGCAGACCTATAACGGTCGTCTGTATTATATCCGTTCTTCTTAATCTCGAGAACGGTGTTAAATAGATGAAAGTCGAGACCAGATATGGAAAAATTAAGAGTAGAACGCCCCAATTAATTATATACGAACTTCTGGTATAGAACGGAAGTAACGTGATTTCAGTTCAAAATTTTCCGCAGAACGGAGTTACATAGATGCTCCTGTATATCACACTTTTCCTGAGAACAGAGTTGTTTTCAGGAAAAGTGTGATATACAGGAGCAAGATCGAGAGTATATATTTTAAATAAAATAAATTAGGAATATGGTTAAAAATTTCAGCACGGCATTGCAACGATGTCACAATAATTTTTACTCGTTTACATTAATAAATTATTCTAATTAACGTATTAGAAAAAATAAATATTAGTTAATATAAAATGAATAACTTTCTATTAAATATTTTGCCATTCTTACTTAAATAATCATATATGTAATTTATTAAACGCATGGCAAGTTATAAACATTCGTTTAGAAAATTTATAGTAAATTATATTAATTATGTCACTAACTTATTATATATGCATATAAGATATAATACTACATATTTTAAATGCTAGAATTTACGTATATCTTTGTTAAATTAAATTAATTTAAAGGAATAAGAGAAACTTTAATCAAAGTAACTTGTAATTGAATATGAAAACTGTTGATTTAATTTAGTTTAAATTTTAAATATCTTTGATATGATAAATGAATAAATATTCTATTTTAAAATATAACAAACACTTTTTATTTTCTTTAATCTTTTCGATTATCCAGCAAAGTTTTTCTATTCTTCAAAAGTGTAAAATTATACAAAATGAATACAGTACACTCTTGATAATACGGTCCTTAATAATCTGCCTCTCAATTATTTGATTTATTCCCGTGAGATCGCCTATTCGCTTCCGTTTTCATGAAAATGTTAGTCATGCACACATCCTGTTTTTCTGTTTACTCAAGTTTTATTTCTACGTACAGTATTGCATTTCAGTGCGACGTATTATTTCCCTCCCTGCATCGAAAAAGAATCAGTACCTAAGGGTGACAGATCATGTCTTTAGGCAGACGTACACTTAGTAATCCGACATTCTCGCTAATGTGGCAACCCTCTGTGCAAAGAATGACTGGATTAGCAAGAGTCTAGTTATTTAAGTACGTTAATCAGAATTTTCAGATTTAAAATTTTAATATTATAACTTTTATATTCTAGACAATATTTGTCTCTAAAGCCTTAATATAGAAGTTAAATCTAATGAGCGAATAGTAGCGTATAATTATCAGAAATCTTTAACAATTCCGAGTGACAGAATTAATTCATCTGGATAGAAACATGATGCAGTCTTCCATCTATTATGAAAAGAGCGCGGATTCCCAATTATTTAAAGCTCACATTTCTCATTCCATTGAAAAGCACTTTACATTTTCTCTAACGCAACACCATTACACGATTTTTCTTTTCTTTTCGCTTTAAAAGATTAGATAAAGTCATTCAAAAATAGGAACGAAATTATATATTTTTTTGATATCTAAAAAAAGAGTAAGTCAGGAAAGAATCTAAAGTGCATATTTCTGCACATAATCACCTGTATTAAAACGAATCATTAACGCAATTTATAAATCAGGATATATACCCANAGTTGTTTTTGCATGAAGACATCTGGATAGTTTTTTAATGCCATAGAAAAGAATCTATCCATTTTGCGGATTGGAAATCGCAAAAACATCCGAAAACAAAAATAAAATATAAATGTTCAAAAGGAATTTCAGTTACCGTGCGGTTTCTTCAATTTTATAAAACATTAAAAGGACTTAACAAATTTACAGTTTTATAATTTTCTAAATTTAATAACTTTATTACATTATTTGCATAATATATTTGAACTTTGGTTTAAAAAAGCTATTATTTTATATTTTTAAACATCATCGAAACAATTATAAGGCTACAATTTTTTTCGAATTGCAGACCTATAACGGTCGTCTGTATTATATCCGTTCTTCTTAATCTCGAGAACGGTGTTAAATAGATGAAAGTCGAGACCAGATATGGAAAAATTAAGAGTAGAACGCCCCAATTAATTATATACGAACTTCTGGTATAGAACGGAAGTAACGTGATTTCAGTTCAAAATTTTCCGCAGAACGGAGTTACATAGATGCTCCTGTATATCACACTTTTCCTGAGAACAGAGTTGTTTTCAGGAAAAGTGTGATATACAGGAGCAAGATCGAGAGTATATATTTTAAATAAAATAAATTAGGAATATGGTTAAAAATTTCAGCACGGCATTGCAACGATGTCACAATAATTTTTACTCGTTTACATTAATAAATTATTCTAATTAACGTATTAGAAAAAATAAATATTAGTTAATATAAAATGAATAACTTTCTATTAAATATTTTGCCATTCTTACTTAAATAATCATATATGTAATTTATTAAACGCATGGCAAGTTATAAACATTCGTTTAGAAAATTTATAGTAAATTATATTAATTATGTCACTAACTTATTATATATGCATATAAGATATAATACTACATATTTTAAATGCTAGAATTTACGTATATCTTTGTTAAATTAAATTAATTTAAAGGAATAAGAGAAACTTTAATCAAAGTAACTTGTAATTGAATATGAAAACTGTTGATTTAATTTAGTTTAAATTTTAAATATCTTTGATATGATAAATGAATAAATATTCTATTTTAAAATATAACAAACACTTTTTATTTTCTTTAATCTTTTCGATTATCCAGCAAAGTTTTTCTATTCTTCAAAAGTGTAAAATTATACAAAATGAATACAGTACACTCTTGATAATACGGTCCTTAATAATCTGCCTCTCAATTATTTGATTTATTCCCGTGAGATCGCCTATTCGCTTCCGTTTTCATGAAAATGTTAGTCATGCACACATCCTGTTTTTCTGTTTACTCAAGTTTTATTTCTACGTACAGTATTGCATTTCAGTGCGACGTATTATTTCCCTCCCTGCATCGAAAAAGAATCAGTACCTAAGGGTGACAGATCATGTCTTTAGGCAGACGTACACTTAGTAATCCGACATTCTCGCTAATGTGGCAACCCTCTGTGCAAAGAATGACTGGATTAGCAAGAGTCTAGTTATTTAAGTACGTTAATCAGAATTTTCAGATTTAAAATTTTAATATTATAACTTTTATATTCTAGACAATATTTGTCTCTAAAGCCTTAATATAGAAGTTAAATCTAATGAGCGAATAGTAGCGTATAATTATCAGAAATCTTTAACAATTCCGAGTGACAGAATTAATTCATCTGGATAGAAACATGATGCAGTCTTCCATCTATTATGAAAAGAGCGCGGATTCCCAATTATTTAAAGCTCACATTTCTCATTCCATTGAAAAGCACTTTACATTTTCTCTAACGCAACACCATTACACGATTTTTCTTTTCTTTTCGCTTTAAAAGATTAGATAAAGTCATTCAAAAATAGGAACGAAATTATATATTTTTTTGATATCTAAAAAAAGAGTAAGTCAGGAAAGAATCTAAAGTGCATATTTCTGCACATAATCACCTGTATTAAAACGAATCATTAACGCAATTTATAAATCAGGATATATACCCAATAAGGGATTTTAGGCACTTATCGTAATATATGATCTATATAGTTAAATCATTAAAATTAATAATGTATTTAACTTACAAAGTGATTCAAATGATATGCACTCCATACACGAAGCATTTATAGTTTAGAGTAATTCCAAATTAACAGACACGTTTAACAGACCTTCAGATTTATTACTGTCATTTGCACAATAAAAAAAATATAAAGCTCCGTGCTTTAATTTCACTAATGACTCTAGGATTATATTAATCAATGCTTAATATTTTATTTTGTTTTGATATAATTTTTAATAATTTATTCTGTTGTAACTTCCTATTAAATATTAAATATGTATTAATCGTATAATCTAAAACATTACAAAATTCAACAAGCATGAATTTCAAAAGAGGTGCTGATGCTTATATTTGTATATGAATTTATTCAAAGGAAACTGTCGTTAGTCTCTTTGAATAAATGCAATGAATAAAAAAACTAGAAAATATATTAGTTTCTTTTTACTATTACATTATACATTTTATTATTTTTTTTTCGCGGACACCATTGGATAGAAATTCTTTCACTTACAGCACCACGCATAGGTTGCGTGACTTTAAACATTTCGTAAAAAATTCAATAAGAAACAGAATAATCCATTAACAAGATTATAGCAATAGATCATAACGACGTTAATAAACTTCACAGTTTTTTTAATTTTATTTTTAAATTTATAAATGAAAAAATTAAAGCAAGTGTTAACAATTCTGGTACTTTTCAATATTTACGCAAGTTAACAATTTTAATTAAACTCAATTATTTTTCAAGATTGATAAAATAAAATTAATTTATATGATAGACTTACGCAGACGGGTTTAACAATAATAAATTTATATTTTTCAAAATTTTGTTTTTAAAGTTTAGAAATTTAATAATATGCAAACATTATTCTTCTTTCAGAAAATGCAACAAAGACCTTTTATTCAAAATGTACTCAATAGCAAATTGAAATTTTCACTCGATATTTTCTGAGGTATTTAAGTTAGCTCAATAATCCGAAAGCTTGCACTAAGTGACAAATGTTATTTAAAATTCAAAACAAGCCTATGCGTGTACTCCTACATAATATTTACCTACGCCTCCTGCACCTTATTAACTTTATTACACTTATCGGTTATATATTTTATTCGATGTAATATTTTCATTTATTGTTGTAATTTCACATAAAATAACGCTTATTTAAATTTCTTTACTTAAGTAGATAAATAATTCAAGTCATAAATAATGTAATAGATATTAATACACTAAACTTAACTGAACTAGAATTATCTGAATTGAATTTTACTATATATATCTAGAAGAGTTATAAATTAAGTGAGGATTAATATGTAAATCTCTTCTAGAATAATGTAAGAATGATAACTTTAAGTTTTAGTTTGACATCTGCATAATCATTCGAAAGTTTTGTGATATTTGCCAAAAGACACCTTTAATATTAAATTACAATTTAGTAATTTAATTTTTATTTTGGAGATACGAGAAAGGTTGATGAAATTTTATTGATTTACCTTTAACTGTCAGTCTGACTACCTTTGATAAAGTAGAACCAACTCCGTTGCTTGCTTCACATAAATATAATCCTTCATCAGATTTTTGAACGTCGGCGATTACTAAGGAACCGTTTTCCAAAACATACATATGAGAACTACTGACCACGCTTTTAAATTCCGTGTTGGCTTTTATTCTTTTACCTAAAGAAATTAATTAGATAATTACTACACGCTTTAAAAAATAATATTATTACCATTCACAAAATTTTATTATGGTCTTTTTGATTTATTAAACAATATTTAATACCGTACAATACAAAATTTAATTTAATACCGTAAACAATAATAATAATATAGTATATTTGTTAGATAGTTCGCTTAGAAGGTTGTACTTAATCATCCTGTTAGAAGCTCGAAAAACTTATATGATAAATTATCGCGTTAATTTATCACTGGAAATTTTCCAAGATAAACTATAAATTATCGTTGAAGTATAAGAAAGTGATGGTTTTTGGTTATACACCTGAAAATTCTATGTTTTTACGTTGCTTCCTATAGTGTATTTTTAACGCTAAACGAATAGATAAACAATTATTTTTTTTTGCTAATTCATCTCATCAATTATTATTATCTTTAAATTTTCAGTAATTTCTGTCAGTCTTTTGCTTTAAATTAAATATATTTTTTTCTTTTCGTATTTTAACGTGTCGCGAAGGAAGAAAATTTTAATTTTATATGGTTAAGACATATAAAATTTATATGCAGGAATGCTGCAGTCTATATTTCTACAATGTCATGGATTTTAGACTTTCTGAAAAAGTCATTTAAACACTGTCGAATTTTTTTGTTATACGAGCTTTCGAAATGTCTGTCACCAACAAGGGACAGTCATATGGAAAAATTGATTTGAAAATACCCAGAGTGAAATGGGATTACTAAGCGCTTTTGGTATTTTAAAATAAGAAGTAGAAAGTAAAAGAACTTTCTATATTCCAGGAAAAAAACGAAAAAATTGAAAAAATATTTGAAACTAGCAACTATATTTAGATAAATCCTCTTGGCGTTTAACTCTTTTTTTATAATACCGTTATTGTTCAATGAAAAATATTCTTTATTTTAAAAAATTTTACAGATATTCATCTAATTTCAAGAAACCTAGTTTGAATTTTTTTATTCTTGAACAAAATTATCAAATTTAAAAAAAATATATATTAATCCACAATCGGCAATAAAAAAAAACAATTTCTAAAAATACCGATTCTAATATAGAAAAACGTGAAAAATAGTCAAATTTATATTAGAATAGATATAAATCTCTGCATTCGTTAAAAAGAAAAACCAATAATAATAATAAAATTTACGATTTAATTCAAATTTAAAATAATATAAACAAAAAAATAAAAGATAAAAAAACAAATTTTTATACGTAATTTAAAAAAAAATCGAAAAATCTTTAGCTAATTAACCTATGCTTGGCGAATGTTTATCTGTAAATATTTGTCAAAGAAAAACTTGGATATCCGAGATTAAAAAAGTAAATATTAGTTTTAATGATAGTAAAAAAAACTTTTACGTTAATTAAGAGAGATGGATTATCATTACGAATTAATTAAATTCTGTTTACTGATTATAAAGATTGAAGTTTCTGATATGCTAATTATGTTCACATAATAGCGTTATTTTGATTCCTTATCTTTATTTAAGATTAATTAAGGTTCAACTTGAAATAAAATATATTTTACTTTCTTTAAATTTATAATAATGCAAAAAAGAAAATTTACCTGAACTGAATTTCCATCTGTGCACAGGATCAGGGATGCCATCAGCTTGACAAATAAAAACGGCTCTGTGACCAGCAATGACAGAAAGGTCTTTAGGTTGCTTCATCCATTTTGGACTGGCTGAAAGCATACGTTAATTTAAATTTACTTGTAAAAGACATCATCTTAATAAAAGAATAAGTGTGTCGGATAATTTGTTCGGTTTCCTGTTAATTAAATTATACTATAACACATTATGCTGTTTAGCGATAATATTCTAATTAAATATTTATAAACTGTAGAATATTTTAGGAATTAATTTAAAGGTTGGATGCAATAAATGACAGAGATGTCAGAGGGGATGAAGTTAACAATAATTGTCTTTATCAACCTTAATGGTTGGAAAAATTAGGACTAAGGTGAGAGATAAAATGCATATGAGCTTTTATTAATGTGGTTGGATAAAGGTGTAATTCTCAAAGATTGTTAGCCAATAAGATCAAACAAAACTTCTATATTATGGTTCAATTTCTATTAAACCAGATATTTGTGTTGTTAATATGATTCGTTTTATTTACATTTTGTTCTTTTTTCTTTCTCTTTCAGATATTTTATGGTCTAAATTTCTGTAAAGATACTGGATATAATATAGAAATCACTATCCAAATCATTATAAAAAGTACAGTATAAATTGTAAATGATAGTCTAGCTACTACTTTCATTGACTTTAAACTTTCTTAACATCTTAAAAAGTGATAATTAAATATTTTATTATATTAAAACTAAAATATCACTTGTTCAAAAATAACAAAATTAAGCATTGATCACAATATTTGAAAATGTAAATAAAGAAAAACTAAATAAAAGTAAGTAAGACACAAAGAAGAAACAAACTTTCTAGATAGTTTTAATTAGAAAATTTAAATATTAATAATTTATAAATAAGTAAAACAAGTTAATTAGTGTACGTGAATCGATTTCACTAACTAATTTCTCAAATCATCAAAAGAGGAAAAAAAAAATCATTTATCGATCTCAGCTTATCCAGAAGGGATTTGTATAGGGGAAAAATTTAATAAAGATATATTGCATGCAAGTGAAAACACGACTGATAACTTACTATTCGATGCAACGACAAAACACCAAACATAAAAACAAAGAAATACGATAGAACAAAAAGCACCTATCAGCATTAGTAGGGTGACTAATGAGAATTGATTAGTTTACCTCTTACAGCCATATAAGTCGTATAAGATGTTCTAGCAGTACCAGATGTCGCTCGACAGGTATAATTTCCCGCATGATGTCTTGTTACATTTGCTATTGTTAACGAAGATGTAAATTCGCCCAGAGATGCAAGTTGAATATCCCAGTTTGCTGGTGACAGAGGGTGATTGTCTTTGAACCATTCAATAGTGATTGGCGGCTCTCCAGTCAGAACACTACACACAACCATTGTTCTCATTCCTTCCCTGAGGTCATCTCCAAATAAGAAAGGGTTGATGACAGGTCTTTCTGAAATGTAAAATTTCTTCTTTGGTACCACAACACTAACTTTATTTTATATTATTATTTCATGAGTAAAGAATTCTTAAGGGTAATCAATGAGACCTCTTCTCTGTTATTATTCTTTACTTTGATGTTATCTGATCAATTTTACTTGAAAATAATGACAGCACTTTTATAAAAGTGTTCCTTTTAAAAAAAAGCTATTATCCCGTTATTACATATTATAAAATAAAAGATACTTTTTAACAAATTTTTAAAATATAAAAATAGAAGCAATTTACTGCTACTCGATTATAATTTAAGCTTCTTAAAATTGATTTTCAACGGATTTTTTTAAATGAGGAATCTTTATACTGTATGAAACAAAGAATAAATATTTAAATATTTCTCTAAACTACCAGAAATTGCACTTTTCCTCATACAATTTTCACCTAGTTCTAGATAATGCATCTCGTTAAACTTTACACAGTACATTTCAATGTCCACTTGCATGCACAGTTAAACATATTTCTGCTACACGTAAAATAAAATCTCTGTTTTTATATTGCGTGTAAAATCATAATAGATTTGTAGAACTGAAAAACATAGTTGATGCTTCTGTATTAATCATACTGCAGCATTAGGAGTTATTGAAAAGTGAAACATAATAATATTCAGTAGATAAATGGAACTTTTATAGATCTATTCTATATATTTATGAGTATTAAAACGTATTTATTAATTCCCTTTAGGTAACTTGTAAAGGTTAATTCTAAAAAAACTAATTTTAAAATTTATTATTACGATAAAATTTAATCGATAAGTAATCGCTATCAAAGAGGGAATCCGATTTAAAATGACGATATATCATCATAATATAGATAGGAACTATAGATGTTAGAGATAAAATATGGTAAAGTGATAAGACCTGTTGTGATAACATATTTAGATTAGATCGCAGTAATTAGACTCTTAGTAGAATGTAATATATTCTATTATGAAGACAATATCGTATCCTATATCATCCATATCTCAGTTAACATAAATTGAGAGACATTTTATCAATTTTCTAGTTCCATATAAAAATATATTCTGATTTTTATATTAGCCTATTCTAAAATATGACTGAAATTTTCATTATATACTATATTAATATTTCTTTTCCCGATATGAAAGATAAATAGAAATATAACATATCAGCTCGAGATTTACATAAATCAGTTGAAGTAAGTTCACGTTTAAAAAAATTCGTAATATATTTTTTTAAATTTCGATTCAAAATAAACATTTTCTTTTACTTTAATCTGATTAATAAGCAATTTATTACGTACCGAATTGATATTCCATAGCGATTTAACTGCAATCGATGTAAAAATGTTTACGTTTGTTAAATTATTTTTATTTTTTTATTTTTATTGGTGTATTACAAATGAAAATAGCATTAAAACATGTCTTCGGTTTAATCAAATATTTGGGACATTAAAACAAGTTCTTACAAAGGTTTAGATAGCAATATAAATAAATTAAACGACAAATCACATAAATTTAAATGAATATACGAGAAACAAACATTTCCAAAGTCAAATTTAATTACATGAGTCATTATTTTGTATTAATGTTGTAGCTAATTAATTTCTCCAATAAAAATTTTAGAAGTATTTTTGAATTTTCAAATACAAAATGTTATTTCCTAATAATTATAAACATTAATAATGCAAATCTTACGACTTGAAATGAATACATGTTGCGCTGATGTTTATTTTTATTTATTAATTCAGTATATTAATTGATATATTAAAATTAAATATTTATAACGAATGCATTTTAAATTATTTTAATATCAAAAACAAAATATAATTATATGAATTTTATTTTTTAATATTTTAAATGAATCAATACTTTACGACGAAAGTTATTGATGTGAAAGAAACCTGAGGCATAGTAACAGCTACTGAAAACGTTATAAATTCGTACATTGGTTGGTTTAGTTTAATATAATTTATTTACATTAAATTACTTTGTATCAGCGAATTTATTTATACAGTATTTCTATGATAGTTTGCATGTATAATAGAATAATTAGATATTATCTGATATTTAAATCATTCGTATTATATGTTATGTTACGTGCTCATTGTATGATTACGCTTGGATAAATCTGAGTTACCTTTAACAATGACGGAAGTTGAGCGTATCAACAATAACATTGTTAAATGCAGCAACATTGCGCTTTAGTAACATGAACTAACGACTAAAGGAAATTGTATATTAATTATTGAAATCAAATTTGTGGAATGGTTAATGATAAATATTGAATTAATTTATATACTTCTTGAAACTATAATAAATTTATAATTTAATATTTGCTTATTCAGATACAAATAAATTAATTAAAATATTAAAATATAATTGGGGATTTTCTTGAAAATAATATAAAAAGTTGATGTATAAAACATATATAACATGGTTACCATTAAAAATAAATTATATTAACTTATAGAAAAATCAAATTCAAATGTTATCCGTTTGGCTATAATACCTTTGTCTAAAATATTTCTTAAATAATTAATTTGTAATTTTTGAAATTTATCTGGTGCTCTGAATAAAAATTTTACTTCTGGATTTTTATTGAAAAGGAAACTTTGAATGCTTTCCATTGTTAATTATACTCTTGACATTACAATTAATTCTGTATGTAGTTGGAGATAAACTAATTAGTAGCAAGTGTGAACAAACTGTAAATATAAAAGAAATCGTGCTTTTATGTTATAAAAATATAACTTAAAAGATGACAAGACATTTTTTAAAACCAAGATAAATATAAAAGAAATTAAGAATCATGTATGATTCCTTTAAAAATGAATACTCGTATCCAGTATAGGATATTAAAAACTATAAAATACAGATTTTAACACAGACCTAGGTTTATATTTATTTAAATTTGAATTTTCTTCTTAACTGGGATGAAAATTAAATATCTAATTTCTTTTTTATATTGAGTTGAAACAAAAGTATTCAATTTAAAATATTTATTGGTTAGACTGTATCTATGCAAATTTTATAAATTTAAAGAATGTTTATCCAAGAAAATCACGATTATATTCGAATGCAATAACTGTACCTGCACTGTTTGATTTAAATGAAGAATTGTGTTGTTGTTGATATTTAAAATGAGATATTTTTAATTCTCTGCTTTAAAGAGGAATTCTATGTGATTGTTCTATATACTTAATTTAAATTTATCGATAAAAAGCTATTAACACTTATTTTATTTATTATTTTATTCAGCAAAGTCACATTTTTATAAATTTTACTAGAAAAAGATAACATTATAATCATATTGTTATAAAATTATAAACATTTACACGAATATACATAAAAATTTTATATAAAATCAGAAATTTAATTATCAAAACCTAATTATATCAAGTTTATTCGAGTCTAAAATTATTTTACTTAATTCTAGCAAAATATTATTTTACATGTTAATGCAATTAAAAGACGTCAAAATATTTACTCAAGCAATCCGCACATATATTAATGCGTGAGTAATAACACATATTAATAAATTTTTAAGTGCATTCTCCTAACATAAGATAATTAAAATATATATATTTAAAATCTCATGTAAAATGAAAAAGTATATTAAATTGTCTAAAACACTTGTTAAAAATCTTATTAAGAACATTTTTATTGAAAATTATTTTAATGGTGTTAAATTATAAACGTATTGATTTAAAGTAAAATAATTGGAAGAAGTAGTCCTTAAGGAATACACTTTTCTAGTAAATTAGTAAACGTAACATACAATGTTAAAATTATTATTTTGTTCTTGTTTTAGAACTGTTATATTGAATAAAACTAATTACTTTAGAAAAATTAACTTTTGAATATTTATTGAATTTTATATAAACAAGTGATGTTTCGAATTAACAAGCAGAGAAAAATACTACAAAGCTTGAATGTCAATAAAATAAAACATTAGTAAATAACTCTAATATTCAATTATAAATTAAATTTAAAAAAATAAAAAGACTATAAATTTATTTATTTAAAGATATAAATATCATTATTACATATTTAATGCACTTAAATACTTAACACACATATTTTACATTACATTTTGATAGAAATTGGAAAAATCTAAAGTTTAAATGATTTGAAATTTTAAAATATTCTTTATTCCTAACTTATCTTAATTAAAAATGATATAAAACTAATATATATCAGACTAAAACTACAAAGATTAAACCGTGATATTGTATTGTTACAATAACATGATTACACATAATTAAAAGCTATAATAAAAAATTCTATTTTTATTGAAAATTTGTAGCTTTATCTTATTTAAATTTTTATTGATGTTTTTATATAATTATGCTCTTCGTACAGTATTATTATTATTATTAGTATTATTTAATTTCTTTGTTTTGTCTCGGCATTCTAAATTAAGTCTAGTGTCTTCTAAGATATTTTTACACTTTTTAAAAAGGATTCCAGATTAAATTTGGAAAATTCATTAATTCACAGGAAATTATTCTAATGAGATTCAGAAAAGGAATCGAGACATGACACATGACAAAAATATAGAGTAATAACAAGATATATGTTCTCATTGAGTGTAGCCTATACTTATCTGTATAAAAGAAAGTCATAATTAAAAATTATCTTTGACGTAAATTTACACAAAGTTTTATTTCAACCGATCTATAGGATAAATACGAAATTCTATCAACGTAGCGTTACAAAATCTTTAATATTCAAAACGAAAGAATATAAATTCCAGTAGATGTTGGTTTTTATGAAGGTGTGGTGCCCCGTAGACACTCTAAGTTAACACGTCTGACACTAGCTTCCAGTGATGTTGAATGACATCACTGTAGGCTAAATGTAGCCTGAAATTTGATTCTACGCTTTTTGAATGTTATATGAACTCACAAAGATCTACGTAGACTTTCTTCTTTATTAGGTCTAAATATAAAGGCGAGAAAATAAATAAATAAAAAAATACTGAGGAGAAAGCATTAAAATTTGAAACATAATCTCGAATGATCAACAATAAACGAATTTCCAGTAGCTCGGGAATAGTGTAGAAGTTCAGGATTATTGTTAAGTCTTTTCGAGATTATGTTTCAAACTTAGAAATGACTCAATTTTCTCCCTCATCATTTCTTCCCATTTAACATGCATAGTCGCATTCACGCTAGACAATATAAAATTTACACACGTGAAAATATTCAATTAAATATCTAATTAATAAATTCTTTATTTAAAAGTTTATTTATGATAATCTATTATTTATTCTGTATAAATTACATTTAAAATTCAGAAGATTAAATATTTTTTACATGTAAAATAAATAGTAGGTTTATTTAAAAGTTTAAACATTTTCATTGTTCATTTAATTCAGATTGTTCATTGACTCTATCACAATTATAATTGCCTCATCAATTATCTTCTATTAAAAATGTGAATTTGAAAACAAATAAAATATTTTAAATATTCCCTAATCACATTTTTATTGAATGAAAAAGACCTTCAATCTTTTGTTGAAAGAAAATGAGATTATTAAATAAAACTTAAAGATAAAATATAGTAATCACAGTTACTTTCTCTTCAATCTACTAAAACATTATAATGCAGTCTTACTTGTATTTTTAAACTAGAAATCTGGTAAAAAAATTAATTTTATAAAAAATTAATAACTTACATACTTCAATTTTCAATTTATTATTCAATTATAATTTTACAAAGTTGATAACACTATAATGAGAATAATTTATTAAAAATTGCAAGAACAAATCAATTATTTTAATGCTTATAATTTTTTAAATTTTTGCCTTAAAAAGAATAAGACGAAACATATAGTTCTCGCTGACAAAAAGTACTATACAAAAATCTTTTATTGTTTTAAAGTCAATTGATTCTAAGCAAAAATAAATATTTTTATATATGCTACCATGACATAAAGTATAGCTTATGCTTGAGCACGTGAATATTATTTGCATTGTATTCTAATATAACAGAAAATGTGAAATTTAAACAAATTTTATTTTCAAAATTTTAAATCTAAATACAAAATTATTTAAAGAATAATCTACACAATTAAAATTATATTAATATTTCAACGGATGTCAATAAATTATAATAACTTTATAAATTTAACATTAAATTTTAAGCGAAAATCTGAAGAATTTCAAATGATAATAAATTTAAAAGTTTTTCAATATTTTTAAATTTATATTATTATTAACGAATGCGTTGAAGTCTATATAGTATGTCTATTATGAAACATTTTGGTCTTTTTAAATAAATCGAACGTAAAAAAATCTTACATATCATTCATTTATACTTTTACAATAAAATAAAATGTTATAATAGTTGTTATTAATTATCATAAAGCATGACTTTAAAAGCATGTTCAACAATAAATTTAATAAAAATCTTTAGAAAGAAGTATGACTTACAGAATCCAGCTTCATATATATCATTTTGTCAAAAGTGAAATTTATAATACTCTAATATTTGACTATTATTAAGCGAAAATATAAATTATAAATAGACAGCGAAAAATGATATAATACAACAAAAAGAAAAAAATAATATTCATCTGAAAATTCTTCTTCGTATAAAACTTGGATATCCAGAAAAAGTACACTAGATCAAACTATAAAGGCCTGAAGTTTAACTGTTGTGGTGGAGTGACAAATGGGGGTTTATATTGTCTCGAGATCAGATACACCAACTTCATTCAAGATCACAATATGGCACGAAAGATATTTCATGTTGGATAATATACAGAAAGATAAATAAATATCATTACTACCAGTCAACCGTTAAATATGACAGAGAAAAGATATTTCGTTAAATGCTTCTCTAAGATAAAAAAAAAAAACGAATTAAGCATAAGTAGACACTTCATTTTATAAAGAAAGAAGCTGAATTAAGAAATATTTATAAACGAAAAAACAACTTTGTTTTTGTCTTTTGAGTTTATCTCACACGATATGACAGATATCTTTAAATATGCAAGTTGCTTTTTCTAATTATATCGATTTTACAAAATCTTATTAACATATTGCTGAATCATTAAAATTGCAATTTTATCTCAGTTTCCGCAACACCTTCAAGTAATTATACAATTTCTTAACATATGTTTCTTTGCCAAATATGGCCATTTTTCAATCAATGGTTTTTAATGACTTACAACTAAATTTCTTTGTAAAAAGTGTGTTTTTACCTTGTTAGCGCTATTAAGATTTTTTTATAATTTCAGCTTTTTATCAAAATTTGGTGCCATTCTTTCATAATCCCTCAGGCACTCAAGTTAAAAACAATTACTTTCTAGTAAAAGCATTAGGTTTTAAGAACACTTTGCTTTAATCAATTTCGGCATTAGCCTATATAAAATTTCTAGATATGCCTATGGGAAATAGGAAAAAATATACTTTCAAAATGTATTTGTGTTTCATATTTTTCATAACTTCAATATATATAATATATAAATGTTCTGTTCTTATTTAAATCAAGGCTTTCTTCTTGCATTTACTAAACTTAAAAAATTCAAATTTTCTTTATTTTATGGTAAAATCCTCTATTATAAAATGAAATTTATAAATATTAAATTTGAAGTTTTACATATTTTTTATTTCATAAATTATTAACTGTATAAAGTAAACATTATATGTTAAATTATAAGATGAATATGGCTTGTGGTAATACATTATAAAAAAATATTCGGACAAAAATTTTAAAAATTGAAAGATAAAATTGAAAATATAACAATAAATTTCTTTAGGTAACTTCTATATATTATGAAATATAAAAGTTAGATAAGACATAAATAATGCAAGGAATTTAAAGCAGAAACAAATGAAATTTGAAAAACGTAAGATTATATATTTTAATATTACCAGAGTGGTTTAATCTAAAGATAAATTATCATTTTTTTTAAACTAAAACAATATGATAAATTCTTTTTATTAACCGTTGTAAAATGTCTTAACAATTTTGTCAGATCATAATTGATAAAAAATTTTGTAAAAAGTAGATATTTTTCCTGTAGAAGAAGTAAATAATATCTAAGAAATCAATTTAAGTTTTCTCTTTAATCATTTTTAGACATCTCCCAATTTTACATAACAAAAATATTTTATTTTCGTAATATTTTTCAACTGTCAAAAATAAGCATCACGCAAAATTTTGATATATTTTTACGACTTTTTTAGAAAAAAATTATATTACATTCGTTTGATATTTAATTAACGAAAGTAAAAATTGTAATATTAATAACAACCCAAGTAATTGGAAGATCATTAAAAGTTTTCTTTGTTATTATCCTTAAATAATGTTATACATCAAATTGAAATTTTCACGAAATCACTTTTCAACTCGAGTTTATTACAAAGCCAATTTATCCATTAATCTTATTACAGTTTCACGGCAATTCTTGGAATTTTATCAATTTATTCGGGCGAAAATGTAGTGATATCGTATATCTCTAACGTTAAGGTCCTTATATTTTGATGAATTATATTAATCATATATTAATGAAGGATATTTTAACAAAAATACAGGTATTATGCCATATATTATTTTTAAAATGACCTTCTATATCAAAAATTCCACCTTTTTCATTCAAGTAGGTAGTACTGTGACTCAGACAACAATGGGCTATTCCATATTTATTTTTCATTATTATACAGTACATTATATCTGTCAACTTGCCTATAGAATGCGTCTTGAAAATAATATTAATGAATCACTGCAATATAATATCAGTTGACACTTACAATAATGTCAAGCTAATAAATCACAACGTCTTTTGTTCTTCTCCATTATCTTAGTCTGATATATAATTTGGACATCTCCTTCAACCTATTATTCCCAATGTTTTGTGGTTCTCAGCTTTTCTTACAAAAACGTTATTTTATTTATTAAAACTTCAGAAAAATCTATAAATTTTCATTTCGAAACAAATTTTAGAAGCTGCAATAATTATATTCCTTTAAAAATTGTTTAATATCATTGATACTCACGTCAACTCCGCATCAACTGTTCAACAAATTCAATATGGATCAATCATTCGGTTATTGAAGTTTCCCTGCTGCGTTATTAAATTGATTTTAAAATAAAATTTTGACCCGTTTCCTATAACAATTGATTAATCAAGTTGACAAGAAGTTGATGTTAGATATAATTTTTAATTTTAATCAATATAAATACAATATAATTTTAATCAATATAATAATTAATATAATTTTCGAAAATTAAAAGTAAGTATTGTGTATATGTATGTATGTATATATATATATATATATATACAATATATTACCTGTTACTTTAATGTACACAGAACCAACCGATGTTTCTCCTTTCTTGTTCGAAACTTCACAATGATACCAGCCCTCGTCAGATTTTGAATGCTGTGGTATAAAAAGTGTACCATTTCCAAAATCTTTCGCACGTTGATCAGCGGCAAGATAATTATCTTGTGAAAAAAGGTGAAAACAACTTTTATAATCCTTACAAAAAATTATTTTGTAATAATTCAATTAATATTGCTTAATTAGAAAAACATTCTTTGTCGTTACGACGATAATGCAATTTAATATTCAAATACAGAATTTAAAATTATTTTACGCTAGAATTAATTACATAAAATTTTTCATACTGTTCTCCTTGAACCGCTTATTAAATTATTCAAGATATAAATTAATTTTTAAAACAACGTTATATAATTTAATCACTTAATAACAATTTAAAATAATTTTAAATTCAATGTTTAAATTATCAATAAAAGGTGATCTTATATGCTTGTGAATTTTATTTATTTTAATACGTTTCAGGCAAATAAATAAATAATTTTATGTTTTTAAATACAATTTTCAATACATTTAACATGTTTTTAAATATATTTATAAGAAAGTTTATCTTAATAGTTTAAATTAAATATTTGAAATAAACGTGATCGTACCTTTTTTCCAAACAACAGATTTTATAGGATATCCACTATATGGACAATTGATAGCTACATTATCTCCTGCGACTACGGTAATGTTATTCATGGGATTGACAAAAGGTGGACCAAATATCATTATTCTTGCACTGTGACTGACGCTTCCGACTTCGTTTGTAGCGTTACATGTGTACATTCCGCCGTTTTCAATAGTAGCTGAAGTGATGTTGATGAAGCTTGTAAGGATACCTTGAGAGTCAACAAAATCTCCAATACGAAGACCTCCATCCTCGGTGACAAGTTTGCTATAGTGAAACCAAGCCACTTGAGGTAGAGGATTACCAGTCACTGCACATTTCATGGAAATTCGGTATCCAGGGTGGTATGTGTGTTCCGAAAAGACTTCTCTAAATTCAGGCTGATCCTCTGAAATGGAAGACAGGGAGGAAATATGCCAAATATCGATTTTTAACAGCTGAAGTTAATAATAAACCGACAACAGCTTGCGAGTTGGCATGTCAATAATCTTTGCATGGCATTATTTTATAGAAATAAGTTTCCTGGATATTTATCTTTATTTCTCGATTATACTTAACCGGTAAAAATTATTTAACGTTTTAATATTTTACTTCAGATTAATTTTATTTACTTCCTAAATTAGGATAATAATCTTTAATTATAGCAATAGATTCCTATTAATTAATGATTCATGATAATTATAATAGGATTAGAACCTTACCCTCAAGAGATAGCAAAGCTGATGCCTGAGCAGATTCTTCGTTGTTGTATACAAAACATTGATAAATTCCTTTATCTTCTCTTTGTATGGGTGAAATTCTTAATGTTCCTAATGTCGTAAACCTAACTCTACTGGAAGTACTCAGTAATTGTAAATTTTTTCTCCAAAAATAAGTGGCATTTCTTCTGTTGGTTGTACAGTTAAAGGTTTGTGAAGTACCTTCTTTCGCTTTCACCATTGTTGGATATATGCTTACAGAAAGTCGTTCTGGAATTGTTACAAAAATATTTTTATTTCTTACCGTTTTGAAATTTTAGACCATTTACTGTAATTTAAACGATATAAATTTATATAACTCTTCCCTTTATACATTAAACTTTCAAGGAATTTTATTGTTTAAATTAGCATAAACAATAATAAAAATAATCAGACTCAATTGAATGATTAAAAAATTTCTTTACTGAAAATTAAAAAAAAAACAAAAAATGAATGTACGTAATGGTGTGATTTAAATTAATTCAATTTTGTTTTCTGCATCAATTTTACGATTTACCTATGTCATTTTAAATTGAAAATTCATTTTTTTAATTATAGAAAGTTAAAAAAAAATAAGAAATTTCAATTAAAAATTTTATATACGAATTTATCTTAGCAATAAAAGTAAGTATTTTCCGATATACACTACAAAGCAATTTAATATATTTTATTAAAAAAATAATAAATAATCAATATTTATTTAAATTGCTTTTTTCCTCATATAACGATATTGCATTTAAGAATATAAATAATTTAAAAAAAAGTAGCATGAATAGAAATAAATGCTACATATATAAATTATTCTGAAAGAATAAACTGAAATTCTATTTATGAATATTTAAATTATTCTTTAAATAAAGAATGCCTAGAATATTTTCTTTGCGCGATTAATAACATAACTCTTAGCGCTAAAAATATTCATCTAAAATTATTTTCAATGTTAGAAAATATTAAAACAAATTCTTTTTCCATAAATATTACATAAATGAGTTTATTAAAACAAAGTAATTTTAATTCAGTTAGTATTTACTCGAATATGACGTTATGATTAAAAAAATTGTTACAGAAAGAAAACATATTTTAATAACAATTAATATAAACATTAAAGTATTTCTTTTTACTTAAATACTCTTTTGGAATAAAATATGTCATTCTATAATATTATTTTTCACAAAACCCAATAAAAATTCATAACTAACCTGTTATGGAAACTTTGAACTGTGCTCTATTCTCTCCAATAGAATTATTTGCTATACACAAATATGTACCACTGTCATAAATAGTGGCTCTTTCAATAACTAAACTGCCTTTCATTTGCTTGAAACGTTGATCATAACTGATAGGAATAAGTCTGCTTCCGTCTTCTTTATACCAGGTGTAACTTGGCACAGGATATCCTTTGGCAACGCATGGAATCTCAATATATTGACCAACTGTTGCTTTAACATCTCTTCCTGTTCCAGTGATTGTTGGCGAGAGTGTACTGGTAGGTTCTAAAAAAAAATGTAACATGACATTCTTATCAAGAAAACGAAACTGTAAATGTTAGAAATTTAATTATAGCTAACCGGAATGATAAATTCGGGTTAGATAGAGTCATATTGATTATCAGATTTAATTAAATTTGAATATAAAGCAATTTTTAAAATTAAATTCTAAATAATTTAAATAAAATTTTAATTCGTTAAAATATATTAATTAACGTTTGTACATTTGATAAAAGTGGTGTGAGAGTTTACGATCTCTAATGTACTTACTCTCGTATGTTAGTAGTTAATTTAGCTGATTAATAAGTAAATAATTACATGAATTGTAATGGAAAACATTTTAATTAGTCACATTCATGCTAAATATGACATATTCGAACGATGCGAATTAAATAATTGGTTAATACAGTTCTAAAGTGTATCGCTTAATTTGATATTTTGAGGATGAGATTAAATTTTATCGTGCTCGTTACTTATATAAGTTTGTATTTTATATAATAATCATACAATCGAGTAATATTAGTAGCATTGCGTGACTGCTATTAAATACATAATCCAGAAATATTATAGTATAGCATGCATTTAGTTACTATTATAAGCGCTTATTTATTGTAAAACTTTTGGATATTTAATGTTTTTAAAAATTAATTAGCTTCTGTGTCTTGAGAATTAAAGCAAAGAAAAAGACGTATATCTAGATATACATGTTATTAAAGTAAATAATAAAATAGTTATAAGCTGATAAGAGATAATAATATAATTCTGTAAGCACGGGAAGATAATAAAAATAAAACAATCGTGACTTTTATCATCATTTTTATGAAATTTTAATAAAATTTTAAGCCGTATAGTTTTTAATATTTATAAAATATGAGAGAAATAAATTTCAGAATTATATTTATAAATAATTTATTATTCTATAAAACTTTCCTAATCTACTTTTGTTTTAAATACGATTTAAGAGGAATTCATTTCATTCCAGTTAATGTAGTTAATTAAAAAATTGTAAATTTATTCACCCGTGACAATTAATTGACCCCACGTGTGACTAGAAATGGTTTCATGATCCAAATCATCCCTGCAAACACAACGATATCTTCTTCTGGCATCTGTCAAGTTTGAATCATTAATAAGCAAGGCACCATCAAACGTCACTCGATACTTTCCTATAAGAAAAACCATAAAAAATTTTTTTCTTGTTAGTTAAATCTTTGTCTCGCAGCCACTGTAAATACATAACGATTACTCTAAAGTTGAATCTCTAAGCACGACATTAACTGTTTTCCTGCAACCCGATTATCGTTCTCCAGTTCCGTGAAAGTGTGTTTGTTGGATAGATAGGATATAAAAAAAAAGAGACTGTAAATGAGAAGATAGTGTTCATTAACGTTATGGTAGCCAAATATCGATTAGGGGGTAAAAATGACGGATTTTATCCAGCTAGATATGTAGTGGAGAGTCATTAAATGAAGATACATTAGGAAACACGCACCAAATGAATTACGGAGTAAAGTTATCTAATACAGGCAAGCAATGAAATTTAGATGTTGTGGTCTTTATCTAGCGCAAAGCACACATCACCTTCCATCATGGTCATTTTACAAGCACGCTGCGTTGACCCGATTTAACACGGATCTATTCTGCTTAAACATGTTGCATTTCACTATAGCTACAGCATATGAGCATTCGTATATATAAATTATTCCTTTCTATAAATTTTTAACTAGGTCTACATGGTCAATAGCCTACAGCGTAATGAACTATTAGTTGAGAAATTATCTTGGAAAGAAGAAATTAAATGATTAAAATGTTCGTCTCTTAGTTTTATTTCCAGCTATGTAGTAATGCCGTAATCATGTTTGAACAGACACAATGCCCAAAGCGAAGAAGTGTAAGTAAATAAACTCGTTTTATATTAAAAGACCATATAGGAAGATATACAGAGATTTTATTTTTATAATTCAAACATTCTAGAAAATATATTATGTTAGTATAAATCAAAAATAGGCAATTTAATAAATGACAAAATTTATTAGTTTTGCAGTCTCATCAATCTTCTAATTATTTTTCTGAAACAGGCCAAACTATGTCAGAACATTTCAATGCTATCTACATAGAATCAATATTTTTCCATTTTCATTTCTCAATCTTAACAATAATTTGCGAAGCCAGTTACTAATCTTCATATACTTTGTCATTTCTAGCAGCTTTTATCTACAATTATTCACACAGTATTAAATTTCATTTTAAAGATAACAGCAAGATAATTGATACGTTAGATTCGTCTTATCATTAGTAGTTGCACACATTAATGATAAAGTAGATAGGAATCTCTTGTTGCATAATTATTAAATAATTTTAACAGTTAAATTTTTAGAAGTTATCTTCTATAATCAAATACAAATTTGATTATTTTGTTTAATTAGATTTTATTATCTTTTAATCATTATAAAGTTTCATTATATAACAGAATACTGCTGCATTGTGTAACACGATAAGAAGAAATAAAAATTCAGTTTATCTCATATATTATTAAAAGAAAATAAATTTGATATAGTAAAATATCTATAAGATATAAATTTTATTTTTACATATATATTGTTACTTTTTTGTGTATGGGAAAAATTTAATTTAGTTGAGTAGATATTTTAGCAATATAATTTCAAGCAAAGTGTGCGAAAAACGTGTAAGAAAATTATCTTTAAGGTAAAGCGATCGATTTTGAATCAAGAAAAGTCTCAAGCAAGACTTTTCCATTTAGTTGATCACATTCTAGTATTTTTATAACGTAAGACATGTGTGGTATGGTTATTCTATATCTCAAGGTATAAGAAAATATCCTTCATTCTGACTTAAAATAATGCTTTAACCCAACTATTAATCATAATGTGGCTAAATCATTTACTTTATCAGAAAAATTTTAAGTGCATTTTCGGATGGATGTAAAAAAAGATGTCTGATGTTCCGTTTAGTTGTAATCTATCATCCTCAAACTTTCCAAAATTCTACTGAAGAACATTGGCTGGCCATTTCGCCTTACGTAGTTTTCATCCTGAACATCGTTTAAGTTTTGATATTAAAAAAAAAGTTTGTAAAAGAAGAATAATAAACAAGTTTAGCAAGTTTTGGTTATTTATGATGACAAGGGTTTGTTGTTCCTTAATGCAGCAGATGTGATAAATAGTTATGAAAATGATCGAAAAGTTATGTTAATGGTCCGAACGGTGAAAATTTAAATCTATCGAAATTTTAAATTATGATGTTATTTGTTAAGGAGAAAAAATATTTTAAAAAGTTTAAATGAAAGACAAATTTACATTAAAAAAGTGGAGTTTAAATATTTTGCTGTTAATATATTTAAGGTTTATGTTGTTTTTAAAGGATGCTTCTATAGGTTATCCCAATATATGTGGAGCTAATAATTTACATGCAGTATCATTACAATTATATCCTTCTGAGGTAAGAAACTTTTTTCAGTTAATTTTTGAAATAAGTTTTACATTCTAAAAATAACTGAAAATTAGAATATAATTAACTTCTATATGTGTTCATTAAATATGTTTTGTTTAAAAAGATTAGAATTTATTTTGTTAGAATCCATTTGATAGAAATTTATTATTAGAATAATAAAATTACTTTTGTAACTTAAAACAGGGATGCACAATCTTTTCTGAAGAAGGGCCAAATTAGGATTAAGTTTACTGACTGGGGGCCGGACCTCCAAGTAATTAATGCGATGGCTGAGATTGGATGCTGGCGGCAATCTTCTTGATGTCTAGCATAATGGCAGATGTTGAAACAACCAGCAGATTTTCCAAATTCTTGTTGGTTAACCTGTTCCGTGTTTTGCACTTGTTTAAATTCATAAGCGAAAACGCTTGTTTGCATACATACCATGTTTCCCCGAAAATAAGACCTAGCAGAGGTTTTGCTGAATTGCTAAATATAAGGCCTCCCCC